GACGATAAGTGATTGCGACCAGTCAGATGGGATAACGTCTAACTCCCAGATCTTAGCTAAAATATTAGTCAACCTAATCGCTAAAATTGGACCACCATCCTTAAAGACTTCTGGAGCCAATCCATCTGGACCAGCTGCCCTTCCTCGTTTCAGATTAACTATAGCCTTTTGAACTTCAGCTAGAGTTGGGGGACCTACTTCAATGTTCCATTCACACTGTCTGGGAATGGAGGGTAGTTGTAGAGTAGCTGAAGGCCAGCTGAACTGTTCTCTAAAATGTTCCGCCCATCGTTCTAAACGTCTGGACTGGGAGCAGATGAGAGTGTCGTCTTTTTCCGAAATAATCTCACTTACACTTGACTTATTAATTCCAGTTTCTTTTATTAGTCTGTAAAGCTGTCTTGTGTTCCCTATAGTCGCCGCCTTTTCCATCTCTTTTGCTTTCGTTGCCCACCACTGCTCACGGTCGTTCCTTAGACTTTTTCTTAACCTAGATCTGATTTGTTTTCGCTCTTCATCATGTTCAGAACCTGATGGGACGAGTTTGCGAGAATCCATCAGTGCAATAGACCTTGAAAGAAATCCACTGGTTCTTTGTAACCCTGTGGTTTAAGTCACTAATAGATGTCACTGCTGTTTCCACAGCTGCTTGTATATCTTTCCAAGCAACATCTGGGTCAGCCTCGTTTCCAGAACTACCTAAGTGTGACCTCAGTTGTTCCTGGAACCTACTTTTGGTTTTCTCGTTACTCAATTCAGTTCTAATGGGTCTTTTTCGTGTGGCTTTTTTGCGTCCAGTGAGACGCAAGCAGATGCGTGCCCGTATTAGGGCATGGTCGGAGTCCAAGCAGGTACTCCAGAATGAGCGACAATCTTCTACCGACCCTCTCCAACGATGACTGATGGCAATATGGTCTATTTGAGTCCATCGTTGGTTTGGTGTAGGGGGTCGCCATGTTAGACGATGTATCTCCTTATGCTTAAAATTAGTGCTTGTTAACAACAAACGATTGTCTGGGCACGGTCGCAACAGAATACCAAAATACCCACCTAAATGTCTTTCTTTTGGTTTAAGCTACCTAACTGAGCATGAGAGTCACCTGCTAAGAGTACTACGCATGAACGTTTAGCTCTCTGAAGAAGTTCAGAGAGCTTTCTGTAAAATTCATCTTTCACTTCATCTGAGCTGCAGTCGGTGGGAGCGTAGGCAGAAACGACGAAAAGGCAACGACGTGTGTCCCTATCCTTCTGAGTTCTTGCGGAGCCGTTTAGCCGAACAGCACATACACGACTGTTGACGGGGATCCACTCTAACAGTGCTTGTCCCGCCCTCATGCTTAGTGCTACGCCTACACCTACCAGTCCTCGAGAACTGGCCATCGGGTCACCAGGTACACGGAGGGTGTATCCCGTTGGCTCTCCGTTTTGCCGAGGTGAGGTCAAGTGAATGACCACACTGAAATTCTGTATGAGTGTTTCAGAGACACAGCATACATCAATGGTACGAGATTCTAGGGTTCTAGCCAAGGAAGCCTGTTGACCGATCTGACATAGGGTGCGTACGTTGAGGGCTCCAATGTGTAGTTTGGAGCGAGGTTTCAGTAGACCTGGGACAGTGTTTTGAGCAATAGAATCGTTTGCTATGGTGACATTTGAGGAGGAAGCCGAAAAAGGAAGTTTAGAGGTGAAAGTCGATGTAGGAGCAATAATAAGAATTGAAGACGGAGGTTGATTATGAATACAATGGTCTTGAGTGCTGTTAGAGGTTTGAGGGCGGTTATCACTTCCCGGTTGCCCACACCGTGGAAGTGTTCTTCTGGAGGTACCTGAAAAGGAAATTGGATTAGAGGTGGTCTTAGTGACCTGAGAGCGTGACCACAGTGCCCAAGGGACAACTGCTTGAGGTCGGTCACACACGACCTTTTTATGGGTAGTTTTTGTGTTAGCTCCGTACTTGTTGAGACCTTACTGCCGGAGACGGATATCCGTAGGATAAGGCGAGGTGTGCATTTTTAGGGTCAACCTTTTCTAACCCCACCCCTCCTTGTGGGAAGGTAGCATCGCTGTCATGCTAGTTGTCTGGAGGAAACACCTTACTGCTGTCACACCTCTGTACAGTCAGCAGTACGACTTCGCCTTCGGACCTTGGGTTTGTTGCTTTTAGTCTTACCGCTCTTCAACCGACCTGTCTGACGTGGTAAGACCTTGAGGAACGATTGTTCCAGCCAGTATAGCTCGGTTGCTTCATCACGATAGGCAAGCCCGACTACCACGTCAAGGTAGCAACAACGGTTGGGAGAGCCTCGATATCCAGCTGACGAGTAATAGGGAGAAACATACATCCTGGATTTCACCATTAGCCACAATCCCCTTATTCTCAATCTAATATATCAAAGTTCTTGAGACGAGTTAGATTCTATTCTTACAAATGTTAGTGAAAACGAATGAATTTTGTTTGGTTGGTAAAGTGAATAGTAATAAACAGCTGAAACGAACTTAAATGAAGGAGTGGATTAATATGATCATAGAACTCTATTTGTATTAATAATACATGAATACTTATATGAAGCACTTATATATAAGCACTGACCAATGGAATATTAAAATACAGGACTTGGCTCACAAGTGCGAAGAATTAATATTTAGTAAAATGATCACTATATACATTCTTAAGTAACCTGAATTTACAAAGGAAGAGGTGGTTAAATGAATTGTCCTAATTGGTCCAATAACATAATGAACCATTCACAACTTTCTTTAAATCATAACAAATCCCGAACAAACCATTTCATTAATAATCAAATCGTCAATAGTAACGACATTCCACATAGATTTATGGAAGTTCAAGAGGAAAAACCTAATTTAGAGTTAGTCAACAAGAGGGTGAGCTAGCAGCTCAACAATAACATCGGATACGGACAAATTAATATCATAGATTGACTGAGACCAAAAAAGTCTAATATTGCATTCCAACTCAGTGACATCATGTTAGACAAGAGAACTGGAAGTAAAAGGTTTGATCCTGTGTACAGTCCCAGGTCGACACTCCTGAAGAGCACCCATTGAGATACGATAAACGTGAAACCATGTTACAATCTTAGTGTTACTTAGTATGAAATTCGTTTTAACTCAAAGTGATATCTGTTCAACATGACATCAGTACTTGTTTATATTAATTCAGTGTGGTGTTTGCCCATTGCTGTGCAGTTCCAGTTGCATCCACATTTTTCCAGTTATGTATGCTATTTGTTGATTAATCATCAAATATCAGTAAAATCTGAACATGAATGATTGTATTTTGTCCAATAAGTTGCTGTCGTGTTTCTTTCCTTCAGGAGGATGAATAAAATCTTCACCAGTAATCGGTTTTCCCTTTTTTTCTGCATCATACAAACCTATCCCCTGTCTTTTTATTGCTATAGTTCCCAGTTTTAATAAAATCGAAGTAGTAATATTTTCAGTGGGTACCGGTTCGTAATTTTTTCTATTAAAACTATCTGACAACTATTACTCTTAAAATAATTTTACTACTTAAAAATCTACAGGTCAATTTCCCTTTGCTCTAATCATGTAAAATCATCCTGACTTTTCCAATTTAATAGTTAAAATATCACGGAATAATCCCAGTTAAAAAAAGTCACTGAAAACCGGGAATCAGTGGAAAGTTGCTTCGTCCTAGCATGAGACTTATCAGTAATGTGTATCTAAAACCCTGACAGCAGGTCTCGAGCCTAAAATCTTCGGTATTCAGTACGAACGCTTAACTTGTAGACTATTGGGCTGAAATTCGATAGCTTACATGTTTAACTTCAATCAAATTGTAATGTCGCGTAACCATCTTTTAATGTATTTGGTGGGCAACTGTCTTACACTAGATATAGTTGGACTATAGCGGTCAGCGCTTCTCACTAGAACTCTAGAGCTACTGCTACCTCTCAAAATGCTCTCACACGGCTAAGCGTATAAAGCCTCTGCCAGGGAAGTCCTACTCACTGCCTTCTCTCACGAAGGGTGTTGTTTACGAAAATGAGAGGACGAAAAACGAATGTTCGGCGCTTTAACCGGATCCCAAACCAATGGTGCACATGGTTTCCAGTATCCTGCGGGAACAAATGGCGTATGAACCAATCGTTGGTCACCGGCCACCATGGGACTGCATCCCCTTACGATGCCCCACTGCCTTGTGGATCAGACCTTTAGGTCAAAGGCTCGGAGAGTGGCCCCCTAAGATAACCACCTGCTTCGGTCTGGGCACCCGGGCAGTATCACAGCCCACACACACAAATATGGCGTGACGCATATATATTTGGTGCCCTCTTGTACCAATATTTATGTGTTCAAATAAATAAATAAAACCAAGACCGGACGATATCAACTATTCATCATTATAGTATATTGATTTGACAGTCAATTGAGTCAATAACAGGATAACAATAAGGGATATTTGCGAAGACATGTAAGCATCGAAGTTTTATAACAGTACAAGATTCGATAGTTTCAATACTTCTTATGTGTATGATTTCAATGTATATTTCACACCAATTATTCATTAGTGTTAATTGTACTAAGTAAAACACTGAAAGTTAGTAGTATATAACAAATATTACTTTTTCTGAGTAAGCATATATACATAAGGTTGTAAAATATCAATTAACTTGTACTTTTCAAATACAGATACTATTTACTTTTTATTATGAAATATTAAGACACACTTGAAAAGTAACAAAACATTTTATAAATGTAACTCAAAATGAGTGTTACTTCCTCTAATAAACAAATGTCATAATACTCGATTATTATTGTGTGGTGCATATATATTTGGTGCCCCCTTGTACCAATATTTATGTGTTCAAATAACTAAAACTAAACGATTATTATTCACATCTTTTTATACCTTGTAGTGGTAATAATAATAATAATAATGTTCCGAATGAATTATATAACATCCAGTCATTAAATTACTCATTTTCAACTACTCAATAGAAAATGTGACCTCAATTACTATGTAATCCGTATATTTTGAAAATAGTTAAAATAAAAATGAAACACAATGAATATCACAGTGTTATGCATGCATTTATGTATTGTGGAAATGATAGTACAATACAGAAGCAGTAATAAACAAACAGAAAGAAAAGAATCAACTGCACCTATACAAAGGTTTATAACAGTTAATAGTAGTGTTAGTAGTAATAATAGTATTACCGTTGTTTAACAAATTTCCTACTTAAAATAGCAGTGCTCAAGCTAAAATAACAGATGAATTAATGATATACTGGCTTATTAGTAGTTAATACAGTGATATTTGACAGTTGTTTATTATTTTCCAAAACATTTTGTTGATGTATATAACCAGTATGAGATAGAGGATCTAGTACAGGTGGAGATCCATGAAAGAAGGCAATCTATAGGAGGAAAAATAAGGAATGCAAAAACATCATTTAGTGAACGAGTGAAAATGAATAACAGAAATAAACAGTTGAAATGGTTAAGGACTGAAACAATATTATGCTGTTAAGAACAAACTGAGATTACTATTAATTAAACTTCGACTAACAATCAGGTACTATTTATAAATAGTATTCTACGCAAGATACTCAACATTCGTTGGTCAAACACCATCAGCCTACTCCGGCAGAGAACAAACCAGCTTCCAAATGAAGAAAAAATTAGGGAAAGACGCTGAAGGTGGATAGGAAACAAGGCGGAAATCGTCAAACTGCATCACAAAGCAAGCCCTAATACAGAATCCCCGAGGCAAAGGGAAAGGAGGTAGACCAAACGACACTGCGCCGGAAACTGTAGGTAGACATCGAAGGAATGAGTAGCAATTAGAAACAACTGGAAAGGAGAAGTCTGGTCGGCGGCCTATGTTCCACGAGGGGTAACGGGTGTAAGTACCAATCAGGTGATAATAATGACGAAAAAACCACGACCTAAATATGTGGTTGTCAGTAGACAATTTTGTAGTTTAGTAATTCCAAGAAATGAACGAGAACACCAAAAGCGGCTTTTTCAGTCATCTAATAATAATCAGTGTAGACACTGGCATAAACGTCCGTTAACTCAAGTTGCCAGACCATAACAGTAAATTGAGATGGAAATAACTAGATAAATGGAAAAATAGCCGAAATAATAAAGTAGCAATGATAATGAGTAAGAATGGATATTATAAACAAGGATTCAAGAAAACGGATGAAAATGTATGCCAAAAGGAATACCGAAAATCAAGATGTAAAGGAAAATAAAAAGTGAATAGATCGGCGTTATTATGATCCACTCTTCGACCCCAACCGCAGCTAATCCTTTGATGTGTTGGTCAGTTTCTGTATCGTGGTGACCTAATTGAGGTTTGGTGGCAGTAAGGCGTTCCTCCATAGACAACCGGAATCTGCAGTAACCTCGTCACCTCATAATGGAAAAAGAGGGTAAAAACGTCTTGACAACACCTCAGTACCGTCACACCATTGTGCAGCCAACAAAGCAACTTCATTCTCCGATTTAAGTTTTACTACTCTCCTTGGTATGATAGGACTCTAATTGAAAGTGTTACAACCAATATAGCTTGATTTAGCCATCACGATACACGAGACCGATCACCAAATACAGGTAACCGATACGGCGACAGTATCCAGACAATAAATACATTATTGGCTGAAACGCTTAATTACTGGCCAATCGACAAAACTAAAATAATTGAGTTCCATATAGAGATTTCCAAGATTCGGCACAATTAAAATCACGTTATTTATTTATTTACTTTTTTCTTATCACATTTATATACTAGGCTTTGAATAACACTCTATGACGGTTAGTAATATTACACAAACCGAATCAGATGGCGACGGATTCAAACCAATGACTAAGTGGTAAAAAGTTGAGAGATTTAATAACTAATCAATCAGCTGACGCTTAATGTAGATTTCATAATGTGTAGTTTAAATATATATTATTGTTTAGTGTTTACGACACATTCGATAAATAGGAGTATAACACTGTAAAAGAACCTTAGATAATAACAATGTAAACTGTTTTTTTAATGGAAATCTATCTACGAATGATTATGCGTTAAATATTTGATATTCTGAAAATTATTTTAAAAATAACGACATGAATTTTAACAACTTACCATTAGAGCTAATGAAAAACCAAAATGTACTACAATTATAACGATCATTATTGGTGTTGCAAGCTGAAAACAAAAATAGGTTGTTAGTAATTTACGGTGATGTAACCTTGAAACATGTCTAAAATAAATATAAAAAAAATTGTATCCTTTTTGAATCATGAACCAACATGTTTGAACTGTCTTCCTAGCGAATTCCGATATCCCTAACCACTTCTACACGTCATCTAGAACACTGGAAAGTGCGAATTGCGAGTAAAAGCTCCAATCCAAACTTCGTCTTTGTACAGAAAAAACGACGTTATTAATGGATTTAAACACGATTTTAGAATTAGCAGTATATTAGTAGTATAAGTAAATGTCTAGTCAAAGCGGTGGCACATGATTCTGCATTTTCTAGATGTTACTGAGAAGATTCTATTCAACGATGATTGGCTAAGACGTTTCCTACAGTTTCTGGGCCTCTAGGAACTTTGATGCGGAATATATTTTTGGATTCCAAAAGAAATATAATATACTGATGGAAACATTTGAGTACAAGACGCTATTGTTCCTCACACAGAAATGTTTAAATCTGTATCAGTTCCATAGAGTGCAAGCCAAGAAATAGGCAACTTGTACAACGGATAATTACGCGATTCAACTTTCACTTTAGTGACTAGTTTAGATAACTAATAAATCTACTTTCTCTTATTTTGTGATTAAATCCTATGGAATGTAATCAACGACTTTGATATTTATTAAAAAGATGTTGAATGATAGTTTTCTAAACACGGAGTACAAATACATATGTTGATTTAAGTTAATTATCTTTATATATTGCTAAACATCAATGTTATAATAACCAGGAATTCACATTCTGTAATGAAGATATGTATACATTATGGAAGATTAGTATAGATTTGTCATCTCATTGCAGAACAGAAACCTAGGACTTCGTATGTAAGAGAATTAAGTTGATACCAGGAAAAAGCTAAACTATCAGTTGATCGAATTCAGTTGCAAGGATTTAAATATCCCCAGTTATTGATGTTAAGGATCGATACTCATTCGTTTCTCTTGGCATGTGAATCCTGAGAGCATTGCTTCAATATTACTATCAAGTGAACAAAGCGTTGAGTGTTTGAAAGAGAGAGCAGTGAATGCTGATGTGAACATCAACACAGAGGTCCAGGTACATCCATCTAGTGAGTCCCAAATATGATGAAACGTGAATCCGCGTTTCCACTGTTAGTCACTGCTATCCGGATCTGATTTAAAATATTGTCCCATAGAACTATTTAATAAGCAAAAGAAAGGTGAACAAATACAAAAGTGAACAATAAAATAAGATACATTCACCTTTGGATATTCTTTGCGTATACTAGGCATTAAAGCAAATACTAGGAATGCCCCAGAAATTCCTATTCCAACTAAGAACAATAACCATTGTAGTATATCAATCTGAATTGTCCATAAAATCTATGAATTGTTAGGGAAAATACAACACAAATAATAATAATGATAATAATAATAGTTCAATTGGAATAACAATATTTTCATGTGCGAAAGATCAAGTCTTCATTTTTGGGATGAAAATATAACTTACGTTGGACCTCACTATCACGCATTACAGTTAATGTGAATCAGTAAAGCGATATTTCACTCTGTGATCCAGTACCTGAAAGTTGAACATTTGGACCAATGAACAACAGATCTACTTTCAAACAAACGACCCTAATCAGGGTATGGTCAGAGTCTCAGGGTATGCTCCAAAAAAGAGACAATGTATAAGTGAAACCAATGGTAACACGATCTATGTTTACTGTAATACGAACGACCACGTCAAAAACAACCCGATGTGAGCTATTATTTAGCGTTCGTGAACAACCATAACAAAAGGCCTTCGTTATTAACTTGACAATACTACTACCTAATTATTCACCTCGTCAAAATCACCTCCTACATACTCTACTTTAGAATAGTCTACTCTCATCAGCCTGAAACCAAATGGTTTTCTTACATCTGGTTAGGTTGAACAAGAGAAGGAAGGCCCTATAGTAGCGGAATCGAGTTACAGATTAACCAACATGATTATGATTTGTAATTAAATTTAAGTGTAACCGGATTAGACATCGGATGTTATTTCATATTTGAGGAGAAATATACCCAACAATGAAACCAAGATTACTTGAACTGATACCACCACTTTCAGTTGAGTTTTCTACAAGTTTAATATTAAACACTCAGTTTGATTACACAATCACGTTCTAAGTAGCTTATTATGACTATCTGGGACAAACATAGTTCATTATAATGTGATAACCAGATCACAGTTTCAGAAGAGACGCACACGTTGATACTAAGTGAAACTGTTTAGTATTTGTAATGCAGAATCATAGCTGTTTATCCAAAAGAAATAGGTTGATTTAGAAACAAATAGTATATGCTGAATTGTTAGATGCACTTTGTAATCTGATACAAAATAGTGCACCAAAAATATTAAACCACATAGTTCAGTAATCAGATTAGGAAACCCATAAACATAACTAAACTAATACCAGTAACTAGACAATATATCAGAAGATCAAATAGAAGACAGATAGCAATACAGTAGTAAGTCAATGAAAGGAACATAAGCATAATAATATCAAGACACAATCTGACAAGCCATTACCCATATTTTGAGCTTTTACACATGATAAACAGAATTATTACTATGAGTTGATAGAGAAGATAGGAACTACAGGCTTCGGATATCCTGTCGTGTAAACGATCTTATAGTGGGGAACAATATTAATCTATTTCCAACTACAAATTTCTGACTACACAAATTAATGACTTCCTGTGCAAACTGTTGTAACTCACAGTTTGAGCAACTAAATATATCGAGGTACGACGTCTTTAATATGGACAGGGATCAAACGTGATTAGATGTCAGATGACTACAGCATGAAGATAATTTGAAGATGACGAATGCATCTAAGTAATAAGGGAGAAGACAGAACTGTGAATGACAGCTCTCATCTTTCAAGGAAAAAATGGAATACATGGATACCACAGTATAAACAGTATTTTACAAGGTAGAACAATCAATAATAAACGATGTCAGTTACAGGGTACTGTCATGTAATATGTTGAGGTAAAAAGACCACAGTATTTGTTGTTGTGTCTTATACATCCCAACATAAGCATTTAATTGACTATAAATTATGACTTAACTATCACACGATAAATGTATCCCTACACTGAAATGTTTACGGCTATTATTATGAAAAATGTAAACAAGGGTACTCAAAGTGAGTAAACATTAAGGAACATGCATTACAGCTAGACAGACAACAAAAACATACGCAAGATAACCTAAACTATCAATAAGCAAGTCATTTACAATTACTAAAACCACTAATGTAACCAGCATAACTCACTGCAACAGGAACGAAAACTGCTAATGAATAACCATAGGTCGACAGAACATCGAAGAATTTATTTGCATTTTTCGCATTGTGAAATGATGATGAATCAGTGTCGGAACGTTCCAATAGGTCAGTGAGATCGCTTTCAGCATCGTTTGACTGGGGTTTCTTGTTTTTACGATGAATGTGCATAACTGCATGCAACAGCAATGGTGTTAGCCACCAATACACATAAATGATAGTTGATGTCAGCGTAACTACGAAATTAAGAAGTGGATAATTAATACTCAGTAAAATGAAAAAGGGTGAGTGACTAACTAGTCTTTTGATTAGCTATAAATGCAAACGTTAGTAGTCGATGTGGACACCATATTATAGATACTAGTTTTGAAACCGAAGATCTATCTCGTGACACCACTATAACAACTGATAGAGGAAGATGCAGGGATTGAGAACTGGTGGTCTTTAGGTTAAAATACTTGTCCCTGAACCAGTATATTTTGTGCCCGAACCCACTTCACCTGATTTGATTGTAGTATTACAGATCCTACCTCTACCACTACGGGATTCGAATCGACAATTGTATCTCTGTGCTGATGTGGTATAGCAACTCGTACTGATGTACGTACGTACGAAGTTCTACGTTGCCGCTGACTGACTGGCTGTGTATCAAAGTTGAGTGAATAAACGTGCACTTGATGTATGCATTCATCAAACAAATGATTGCGAGTCCACTTTAATTAAGAATAGCGGGTAAAAGCTTAAAAATAGTAAACCTGAAAATCATGAAGTAGTAATCCATCAAATAGAAAACTTTACGTATTCATTACCTATAAGAACAATATACGCAAACATGCTGTAAATCTACTGACCATTCTAGAAGAATTGAGAAACGCAACATGTAAAGGGGTAGTATGTAGTCTTTTAAATGACGCTAGGGAATAATTATTAAAGAAAACTATCACTATTAAATCATTTGACTTTGAGACATTACTGCAGGGTTAATAGAACTTTACACAAGTAAACATGAAGCTTAAGAACGGCTTATAATAAACTGGTTGAAATTATGAAATCATTATGCTAACTAATTTCAATTGCTTTATTACAATACTTTCAGGTACTGAACAAAATGCCTCCTGAAAAAACTTCCTTTTTTCAAAGTGAACTTACAACCTAAAACACGCAATACTATTACGACCCTGAGTAAATCCTACTCACTTAAACTAATCGAATTAAATTCTTTGTGATAATGTGAATATATGTTGATGAAATTTGAACGTTTTCTTATCAGACAGATTGGTAGGATCTACTTTTAAAAAGACTGGTTTCCTGAGCGTTTGGTAGCTCTTTTAAGAAACTACATAAACAGAAATCATGGGTATTAAATAATCAACTGTTTGCTACTTAAATGAATCATAAATGTTGAAAATTTCAAATTGAATGCAACAGTGCGTGAAATGAAACACACCTTTCTGAAAATCATAATGCCATGAAGATACCTCACGACGTGACTGCAAATAGTTGGATATATTCCCCCCGATGGCAGCAGCTAACATCAACGTAGTTGAAATCCAAAATGGACCATAGAGATCAGCTCGAGGTTTCAGAGAATGTTGAATGAAATTTATACGCGGATTAGGTATGAATGCAGAGGCAAGACGATGCAGAACCTACATAATGATGTAAATGACTATGATAAAGGTTTTAGCAACAAAATTTTACTCGTACGCAGCGTTAAAATAAGGATAGAAATGATTACTTTCACTCTCAAGCAATGACTTAATAGCTTGCCTGAACACAAAAGACTAAGGTGTTATAGGAAATGTATTACACTTCTCAGCATTATGTGGGCAAGCGAAAAATATGGACAAAAGCAATCGGGACATGGCACATTCTTATAACATTTTCTCGCCAAATGCGTGATTCCTGAATGAACATTTAAACAGACTGATAATGACCACTGGACTATATTGTGGTTCATAGATCATATCACATCTCACAGCTAACACTTAATAAGCTTGAGTCAGTCAGTCAGTCAGTCAGCTACAACGTAGGACCAGGCACATATGTGCATCGGTCCAGGTTGCCATACCTCATTAGCACAACAAGATGAACACCGGATTCATAGGAGTGGTTAGGTCAAAGGTTGCAATAAGGATATAGTATAGGAAGGAAGAATTAGTTCGTAGAAAGAAAGGTATGAAGTGATTTTAATCTCTTAGTTTAAGGGAAGACAGGGAGTGTATACACCGACGCCATTGTGATCGATTCTGGGCCATGTCACCAAGAGTCTCCAACCATTGGTTACGAAAGTCACGCGGACCCCAACCAAGTAGTCTGCATCTACCAACATGGCTAAGACTAGAAGTTAGTGACTTCAAGCACTGATGCCACGTTTTGGTTTGGCCGCCCCTAACTTTTTTCCAACCATCCCCTACACCGGTTAGCATTGCACGTCGTGGTAATCGGTGTTCAGGCATACGTAATACGTGGCCCAACCATCTCAGTCGATGAAGATTCATAACCTCATCAACTGATTTACCATCATTCCCTAATACCCTGCGTCTAACCTCACTATTACTTACCCGGTGATCCCAGCAGATGCCAGCAATATTTCTAAGGCATCTGTGGTCAAATACTAGTAGCTTACGGGTGTCTTCTGCTCTTAAAGGCCATGTTTCGCTGCCGTAGAGTAAGACAGAACGGACTGCCGCGCAGTATACTCGTCCTTTTATTGATAGACGGATATCTCGCCTCCGCCAAAGGTGACGTAAGTTGGCAAAAGCCAAACGAGCTTTACGAATCCGTGCTGAGATTTCGTCAGACACCAACCCATTAGGGCTGATCAGACTTCCAAGATAAGTGAAGTTGTCAACTCGTTCGACTACTTCACTCCCTATCCTTAGTTCAGGTGTTGACGCAGACCAGTCCTGAAGCAACAACTTGCATTTAGAGGGAGAGAAGCGCATCCCAAACATTCTGGCATTGTTGCTTAGTGCTACCAGAAGACTCTGCATTTTGTCAGCGTCTTCACCAAACAGGACTATGTCATCTGCGTATTCTAAGTCGATAAGTGGACCTCCTGAGTCAACATACTAATTATCAGGTTATAGATAAAAATTTTCCGCAGAAATAACTTTATGTAGTGTTTTGATAACTCATTGCTCAATATATTTTAAATAATGAACACACAGCTGTCCAATGTACTAGTCGCCGGCTATATATCGGTTTAAGAAATCGCTTTACGCACATTCATTTTACAGGATGTGATACCACAATGTGTTAGTGAACAAAATGGTTTGTATACTTAAAACGCTCTAGTAACCGAGGCTAGTAAATTTAGTACACATTCAAATTATCCTAAGTGTACAAATGCATTTTAAACTATCATAAATGATCTTTAGCACTTTTTATTTATGAACTCCGTCTCAGACTTTATTGGTACTGAGACTAAAAAGACCATTTAAACACGAAAACTGATTTAGAAGCTGTTATCAATCACAATACCTCACATGAATAAGTAAGCAAGATCACAAAAGTTTTTGTATACGCAGTAGTACTTACCTGACTTGTATCAACATCGAAGTACTGTTGGTAGAACTTAAAGCTGAAAGGACCCAGGCTTGATTCCGTTTTTGGACTTTCAATGTTAGTCTAAAGTAAACTGGTGTAAAACTGGCTTCTTACATTATGTTCTAAAGTCCCTTGAAGTTCTTGGTCCACTTGATCTTCAAAACTCCCAGAAAGTGGTATCCGAACATAATCTCCGTTAGACATCGACATGCCAAAGTATAAAATGACCAAAATAACGGATTGTAGAAATGGAATTGTTTCTGTGTAGCCTGTCAGATGATAACTGCTAATTTATTATCTACAAAAGAAATAGTTTTTAGTAATCTACTGACCGACTGACTACCTACTTGTACTGTAGAATATTAAGCGTATTAGGATGTTGTCAAGATCTATTACTGGTTAGTCAAACAATCGGCATTAGTATAGAAAACTTGAAGTCATTTTTGTCCTTATTTGGTAAATAAGATCAACCTATTTGATTAGTCCTCTTAGAACCTAGAAAGCCGATGTTCCTAGCTTCCCATGATATACATTGATTTTAGAGGTAAATTGTTCAGTTTTCACGAGATCCAAGTCGATCTCCGTTCAACATAATGACGATGAAACGAGGAAAATCAAAATATGCTAGTGGTTGGAGTAAAGTCGATTGTGGAAAGGTATAGAATAGCGAAAACTCAACTCGTAGCCCTTGTAGGGTTACTCCTGGTCCGAAGCCCAGGTCGATGGGAAAGGGGTCAGCAACCCCATCCCGTAGAATACAACCTTGCTAAAAAAAGGTAACCAAAAAAATTTAAACCATTCAAGCTCCGCCATGTGGGTTTAGGGATCTTAATTTAGAAGTATGATGTGTCACAGTGAAAGCTGGGACTCTTTATAAGTCAAGGGGTCGATGCGTTTTCTAACAACCAGAGCAACAATAAATAAAGGCACATGAAATGCCCGGACAATATGGGAGGCCAGGAGGACCAATCAAATGGCTACGGAAATGAGGATACAACTGGGCAGTGATAGGGATAAGTGGAACCCATCGGACCCAAGCTAGATAGAAAAGATTATATTCAGGAGATGCTGTCGTGCTATGGTCATGAAGAAAATGCTTAGCGCATGAAGGAAGTTTCTCTAACGCCGTCCAAAGAAGCACGTAAAGCATTTATAGGATGGGAATCTCATGGATCCAGGATCACCAAATCATCCTTCAAAACAGAGGAAGGGATCACAACAGATGTTATCCAGAGCTATACACCCATCACTGATAGCAATGAAGACGATAAAGGTTAGTTCAGTGAGGCTGCAGTCGACAGTAGAGAAGTGACTAGGCAAGAACAAGAACATCCTGATGGGAGGCCTAAACGCTAAAGTCGGAATGAACAACACCGGATTTGAAGATATGATGGGATGATATGGACTGAGAAAGAGGAACGAGAACGGAGAAATTCGCAAATTCATGTGCATTCGAAAAAATGTTTGTAGGTGACACTATATTCCCCTACAAACTCTGATAGATGCATTCAAAATGAAGATTAGTGTCAGATAAGGCTGCTTACTCTCTTCCTTTCTCTTTCTTCTAAGGGTCGACTGGATTATGGAGACCACCACATATTAGGGGAAGCACCGAATACAATGGACAGCTTGGACGCAGCAAGGGGATTCGGGCTTCGCAGATGGACTAGCTCATTTATCCCATACACAGCAACAAACACAGGAGAAGTAAGACAGTGTATCAGGAGCCTCTGAAGCAGTATGTTTTAACATACACAAGGGATAAACTAAGATCCTTAAATACAACACGGAGAACGACACAGTCACGCTTGATGGAGAAACTCCGGAAGACGTCGAATCTTTCACGTACCTAGATAACATCATCGATGAACAAGGAAGATCCGATGCAAACGTAAAGGTAAGGATTGGCAAAGCAAGGCCCGCATTCCTACAATTAAAGAACATATGGAACTCGAAGCAATTGTCAACCAATATAAAAGTCAGAATCTTCAATACGAAATTCAAGACAGTTCTACTGTGAGGAGCTAGAACTTGAAGAACCACCACGACCATCATCAAAAATGTACAAGCATTTATAAACAATTTTCTGAGCATGATACTCAGTGTCCGTTGGCCAGATACCGTCAGCAACAATCTACTATGGGACAGAAGAGACCAGCTTCCAGATGGAGAGGAAACTAGGGGATAACGCTGAAGGTGAGTATGATATACATTGCAGAAACCATCAAGCTACATCCCGACGTCGGGAACTGGAAGCAAACATCAAGACAATGAATAGTGACTGGAAACAACTATGGAAGATTTATCAAGACACAGATCGATGAGAGATCTTGGTGAGAGACCTACGTTTCTTTACAAAGAGTAATAGATGTAAATAATTAATAGAATAACAATATATATTGTTAGTTTTGCGAACTTTTTTAAACCTATATATAGGTTTGTTCATTGACGTGTGTAAATGACCCAGAAGAGCAAAATAGACTACCATCGTTGAATACATGTCTTAAAAAACTACCTGTTTGCTACTAATATAGCACTCCTACAAAATGATGACGAACTCGAGAATTTTGGTAACCCCGCGCCACAAGGCTGGCTTTACAAGGTCAATTGCCCAATAATTACCCATTTAGCCTTACATATAAAAAGTAATAGGTTTTTCGGTTTTATGCATTTGTTCATTTTTTAGCTCTCTCACTGGATGAACTGATAACACGTTCAGGTGGGGCGGAAAGCCAATATGAGATCCTCTCCCATTCTACGAAACTAAGCTCAGATTTAGTAATCACCTTATTCGTTCATCATATGAAAAATATGACGGTTTTAAAAGCCTGTTGTATATTCTCTCATCATTCTTGAGAGCGTCTATCTTTATATGACGGAAGCAAGATACATGAATCCACTATTCGAAATTGTCCAACATAGGTAGGATGTAATATTCGAAACATTTCTTCATAAATGCATCTAAAGCTCCAAAAGCGACCATAACTTTTCAGATATTTTTTCAGCCACTATGACGCAGCTTGCGATCGATTTCAAGTGACATCTCACAATTAATGTGAAATAATTTTTTTAAACTTGTGGCATTGTATCTCATCGACAGTGTTCTGATGGGTATCGTTGTGTTTACTCGACAAAAATGCAATTGTGCTCCAGTTTTTCATCAAGAACCGAGTTTGTGACCATTCATCCGATACGTCTGCATCTCTCCAGTCCATCACTATCACTGCAAACTACCCTCCAAACTTGTATATCATCATATAGGAATGATAAAAATCTAAACAGTTTGGGTAATTTATCAGTAAACAGTAGGAATAGCAGAGAACCAAGTATGATACTTACCTATCCAACACTTCCCGAAGCAGTTCTTTCAGTGAGCTCACCTTTTATTCTTACTATCTAGCTTCTACAGACAATTTTTAATCCAAGCCTGTCCTCTCCATTAATCCGAAGTTGGGAGCTTTACTAGCAGTAGTTGTCAGGCCAACAACTCATTTGCGTAGGTCCTGACCATTCACATCCTTAAAAATGATTACTTGTGCCAATATGTGGTGTTTGTTATTTATTCCGTAATTAGTTTGAGTTGCAAATACATTATTCTTGATTCTCCCCACAGAGTTCATTCAGACTTGAATACTGGTTCATAGTTGACCACTACTACTACTACTACTACCAGGAATTGAACAGTTCTGAATGTTTAGTGTTAGCATGAAAAATTCAATTACCTCTGATTTCCACACTATATTAACTGGGTGACGCAATGTCACTTCATACCAAACAGAAACATAAACTAAACGAATGGTTAGAAAAACCTAGACGATTACATTCACACATTTATTTTATTATCTTGAAAGTCATACCCCTGTTTGTTAATATCCAATTTCTTTAGGACAGTTGTTGGATGTTTGATTTTAAAAAGACAACAGATCATGCAGATTTCACACTGTGTCTGTTTTGCCACTGGAGTTAGAGATTTGGAATGCTGTAAAATGCTTAGAACGAATATGGTTTTTCAGCGTCGTAAATGTAACAGCTTGCATTAACAGATCCTAAGCTGGTAATTTTTAACTCACTCATTTTAAAGTAGTTATCATTACTAAGGTTTGACTTGATAATCTCGAATAAATTAAGCATTGGGTAGATGGTTATAAATAAATTAATATACTCGTGGTATTCTAATGAGTAGGAAAATAAATATTTTGACGTTTTGTAACTCATTGTAAGCCACTCCTTCAGGGGATAAATAGTCAAATTTAGTCCAAGTTTAAATAGTACCTTGTATGTAACCCTCGTGCTATTGATAGAAGAGACCAGAATAGTAGTGAATAGGTCTTTATTTTGATCTTCACGCAGTCACAGTGGAGCGTGGGATTATCTGTTCAGACAAACAAAGCCTCTCTACACTCAAACTAAGATTATGGGAAATATAAAGCCTATACAGAATGAGGAAGTGAATGAATGCTTGAACTCAACTGTTTTGACATATGCTTAGTTGTTTGGGGTCAACTTTTAACCAATCAACCTAAACTGTGGCATACCTACTATTAATTTATTTATCATTCACTTTGACGTTATCGACTGAATTTTGCTTATGTTAACCCATTTTTCTATTATTCCTTCCATTAGTGCTGGCGTGTATTATCATATTATAATACTGATTAGTACTCAGCTTACTAGCCCGATTGATACTAGCGACTGACTGTCCATATTTATGTCTAGTTATGATGGTTCGTTAACAAGCCTTAGTAGCATTTACGTGTTTCAGTAAAATAGACTTGTTAAAACAACAGCTAGCAAATATGGCTCTTAATCCACATAAATACACACAGTCTGACAATTAATGCGAGCAAGGGTTGAGTAGTTATCATGATCTAATTCTTTATCTTGTTTCCCCACCTAAGATTTCACTTCACCATAAACTATGGACTATCCCCTAATATCTTTCCTTTCGACTAATTTATACCTTTCGAACTCCACATCTAAAAAACGCAGACAATATCTTAGGAACTTAGAGTGAGTTCAGATTACATAGTTTTTACGATCTTGAGCTCGTTTCTGATTATTTGTATGGTGAGAGCCATGTATTTACTGGGACTCTGGATTTTTATCGAATCAACTGAGTGACAAAGTCATTCATCATTCACACCCAGGAATTGGTCGCAGTACTGCCAGTTTAATGTAGTTCCTTTTGGGTCTGTATCATTAGTCATGGATGACTTCTTATACGTCAAATCTATTGGATAATCTTACTTTCGAAAATAGTCTAGGTAAGTTTAAGTATTCTGGATGATCTACTATGTTTCTGATACTTCTTAACATGTAGATAATTTCAAATCTAGACTAGCTATATATATTACATATGAACCAGTCCTAAGATCGTTCCTAGTATAAAACATATATAACTGCTCTAAATGACAACATACTGCTATGAAAAAGTGTGTTGTTTTTAGGGGAACCATATTAGATTCAACATTGATTTGACACTTGTTAGTTCTGATTATCATTACTACATATCTACGAATGTTAATAAGGTAACTACAGCAACTGCTTATGAAAATTATATATCATGCACATCATACTCCTAACTGCAGTACCATAAGTCATGCTCTGACCTTTCAATTTTTTTCTGCCGAGTTTCTCCACTTGCTACATTTCTCATCGACATATGTGTTGACCTGGCTTGAATATGTGTTGCATTGTATTTTCTTTGTGCCATTCGAATTTAAAATATATTTTAACCACCCTGAACATTTTTCACTGGATCTATAACAACCTAGGTTGATCGGTTAAGAGTTGGCCGCAAAAATCTAAGTAAATGGATTTTTGTTTTCAGAGTGTTAAGAACCGAACCGAACGTTTTTATAGCCACTGCAAATATTTCTTGATCAGTTGCTCCCGCCTTCTTTTTGATTTATCCTTCATTTTTATCCATGCCCAGAGGATTCGTATTATACATTTGGTAACTTCTGGCTCACAACAACGCCGTTCGATGTCGTATCGGACCAACTTCACGTTAATTCTGATATGAGAGCTGCGTAGTTGTGTTGGTTCTCAACCACACGACCTTCAAAGCTAAGTGTATAATTACCAGACGATGAACGCGACAACAAGGAATCGAAACGGCATTGCTCGGTCATGCAGACGCAGTCACTCTTCATGACTTCTTGTATTTTCATCGAATATATTACTTTCTTCTCAGCCCAAATGCGTTCCGCAAGAGTGCTAGACGTCATATTGACAAGCGTCACGATAGGACGAGTCAGTGTAGACTGTGATGTGACTTCCAAGTAAAATCTTATAGATCAGGTATTCACACTGACAAATCTTAGACTTTGGGACTAAGGGTAAGTGACGACGGACCACGGGTGGACTCGAGGAAGCTGTAAGAGGCTCAGAAAGAGCCGAAGATGTTCCATCTAATCACCTTTCGGAAGAATATTCTGGAATTCCTACATGTAGCTTCCTGATTGGACAATGCTAATAGCCCCCTGTATGCGGATTGAAGGACTGTAATGATGATTTCGTTCTTACTAAAAACCATAGATACCTGACAATTTTTTACTATAATTGACACTGTTTGGAATAATATTCCTTTCATTAGTCTTCTGTCTTCTTATTGCGACTTGGAAGGGTTTTGGTGTTCTAGTGCTCTGTTATACGCGGCATATCAAAGAAATCAACATTCAAGATATAACAGTCTATTACTATAGTAGTAAAGACAAATATACTGGCATTGAAATAGACCATATTTCGACACACTCATATACCGTTCACTGAAACTTAGGACTGGCTAATTGTTACGACTAACCTCTATAGTACCTTTCAACATTCAAAATCAACAGTTTGTCTAGTGTCAGATACTAAACCAAATCTTTTGAGCAAGATATAAAATCCTGCTTTCCTCTCGAGTGGACAAAAATCTCATACATGTTTACTACGGTTATATTCACGCTTCGCTCAGCTGTTCAACACAAACATGACTTAAAAGCACAAGATTTTCATGGATCACTACATACTAACTTGAGTAAATTTGTCTTGATCGGATGACAAGATATTCATTATGCATCAATTTCTTTACCTGTTTTGTCAATATCAACCTCACTGGAATAGATAAATGTCACTTCAATGGCCAAATGCTAGTAAATTATTGGAATGATTTGCCTTTAAGTCAGCTCGATTGATCACATTTATTAGAGTATTATCACTCGGTAAGACTTACAAATCTTTTTAAAGCTCTTAAATATCCAAACACTTAGTGTTCAAGCGATGATTGCGCATCATCCTCCAACCAGTTCCTACATGGCTTTCACACTTTTACGGGAAGTTCGCATCTTAATGACTTCGGTAATTTAGGTGCTAATATCTAGTCTAATTTGTGTTGACTTAAGTGAAACACTGCTATATAGTCAGTGAAGTCACACAGATTATCAATAAAATTACAAGTAGTCTCCATCACCATTTTACTATTGTAAACTGACTATCAAGCGTCGAATAATTTATCAAAACTCTCAAAAGTTACGGTGAAACTGGAGAGTATGGACGCATCATGGTTCATTCGTTCTTCCTCTTTTTTCCTCTGTTAAACGTA